CACTGGGCCACCCAAAGTCCTGCACAGTTCCCAGGATGGGGCTAATTGCATCCCGTCGTTCGGTACCCAAATATCAGTGGTCTCTGGTACTAAATTTTCTGTCACACCTTTTAYTCTCTGTCCTTTGTGGTGCTTAGGGCTGTTGCAGCCACATGGCATTTGGTCCARTGGAAGGAACAAATCCATGGAAGGGGCTTGGAGCTCCTCTTCAGCCTGGCCTTGCCCAAGCACCATCCCTGCTGTTTGGAGACAGATAGACCAAAAGAGGCTGCAGGGCAGGAGGAATGGCTGGATAAGCTCTGTGTCGGGCAGAGGTGCAGACTGGAAAGGGAGGAAGGTCAGCAAGGAACAGGGCTGGGTTAGTCTGGCCAAAATAGGTTGAACAGGGCTCTACTTGCAGCTTACATCTCCTAGAGGGGTAGTCACAAAGATGGTGGAGTTACACTTTCCTTGATAGCAGCAGCAGATGATGTAACGTGGGACAGCAGCCACACATGTTGGCTTGAGAGGGTCAGGACAGGTGTTAGGAAGACTTCTTCCCTGCTGGATGGTGCAGCTTTGGGATGGACACCTGGAGAGGTGGGGTTGGACCATCCTTAGTGGTTTTCAAGGCAGGACCAACCTGACCCAGTGCTGGTGACAGTCCTGCAGGATGCTGGATGGGAGAGTCCTGAGGTCTGCATTCTTGCTGTAACAAGTCTCCAGATGTTTGGGTGCTGATCCGTATCAAAAGCAGCATCTCAGCCCCAAAGCCTTCACCTGCCTGTGGCCAGAAAGGTGTCTGAGAGCTCACCTGAGGCCAGAAAGGTGTCTGAGAGCTCACCTGAGGCCCTGTAAAGAGTCTTCGGTAACACCAGCACTGAGCTTCCATGTGCCCATTGCTGATCTGAACACTGATCTGTCTGGTCTCACTGCTTGCTTGGAAATTGGGGTTCCTCCATGTCCCATGGTCKTTGGCCTATTTCCAGCCAGCATAGCAAATCCCAGTCCAGAATAATTAACCAGAAAGACAAAGAGCATGAGGCAAGAGCAGCTGGAATGGACAGAGGATACAGAAGAGCAGCAGAACAGTCTGAGGWGGTCTGGGGACCTCCAGAGTCAGAAGAGAAGAGAAGTTGACACCAGTGGCAAGCAGAGGAAATCCTCCCTTCTCCATACCTCAGTAATGTTGGAAGTGGCATGGGAGCGTCCTCCCTGCCCTGGGACAAGTGCCAAGGCTCAGCTGTTGTTCCAGATAAGCAGTGAGAAACAGCAAAAACAATCCAGCACCTCAATCAAAGTGTGGCACTGCCTGTAATGGGCTCGGCAGGAACAGGGGCCTAAAGTACCMCCTGACAACCACCATCATGCCCAAAATAAAATTCAGCGCCTCTCTGTGGATGAGTGAAGAAGGYCTGCAATCACAAAATGAGTGGGTAGAATGCAGAAGCCCATCTGGAGAGAGATGTCCCTCTTTATCGCCTTAACCAGTGTCCTGAGCTGGTCACCTGCTYGTTCAAGAGTGAGAAAGAGCCCTTGGATAATGCAAAGCTGAGGAACTGTGTGAARACTCAAGATTGTCCACAGCTGGCCATTGTTTCAAGTTCTACCTTGATTTTTTCTCTGATTCATCTGTTTCAATCCCAAGTACTTTGTTAACCCCCTTTCTAGGACCTGCTTGTTGGTTGTGAGCTTTCTTCACAACTTTCCTTCCTTTTCCCTGATGAAGCTCTGCAGTTCCCGTCATTTGCAGGCAGGACAGCGCTTGAAGCCACTTGTGGGGGACATTGTCACAGGGTTCCCTGTCAGCTTGTCCACCCTGATGAGGAATTGATGTGGGAGTGGTAGATGGATGCTGGATGGGTCATAGCATCACCTCTGCTTTTCTAACCATCACATCTTGATGGACATGGTACAGCAAGGACAAGGCTCTGGTGCAGCCCTTGGTCACACTGCAGAGCCAGGTGCTGTTGAGTGGAAGATACCTTAGCAAGAAAAACGTTGGTGAAAAATGAATCACTCTAAGACGTGGGTAAGCAAGGTCCAAACCAAAGTGTTGCCTGGTCCTGCACTGGTTCAGTTTGTGTGGCCTTGTATCGCACATTTAAACCTGAGCATCCCCACTGGCAGTGGAATCCTCRGCCAAAATCTCTGCAGGGCAATCACCATTTTCTGGTGGACTGGCTCACCTGCACAAGCTGGTAGCAGTGACTGCTTCATTTGTCCCACCTTCTGTCCATCCCTGCAAGCTCCTGCARGCAGGAAACATCCCCTTTCCGTGCAGCTGGCTGGACCATCAAGGGCTCCATGTGTTGAAGGACATGCTGTAGTGCTTGGGGAGGGGAGAAGCTGCCTGGGTGTGGTGTTTATGACAATATCAAAGGGACTATGAGCCACAAGATACTGAGACATAGGGATGCTGTCACAGCATACAGCTCTAAGGGATGAGTGTGCAAGGAGGATCCTTATCTCCAGCCCAATGCCATGGACTTGCCTACAAAATAAACCACAGGCTGTGGCCATCAGTGCAGCAGTGATGTGGTGGACCTGCCGTTATTGCCCCAGTGTGATGGATGCAGAAACTCTTCCGTTTGTGGCCGGGGTTTTCCTGCCCTAGAAGAGGCAGACCGTCTCCTCTGCATGTGTGTGCAGCATGGCTTCCTTGGGGGTCTGATGAAAACCYGCTGCTGCTCCTGACTTCCACCCTTTAGTGCCTTGCTCTGCTTGCCTCAGGCTCCACACTCCAAGTCTGTAGAAAGCGAAACACCAAAACWAAGCACAGAGAAAGTGCTGTGAGGTTATGCTGGTTTTTGCTCAAGTAAGCAGAGGAAGCAAATGTTCCTGGTCTTCGTCAGGGCAGGCTCMCTTCAAATCTTTGAGGCATGGCAGGCAACTATTCCTGGGAGTTATTCCTGCACAGCCTTATGGGGCTGTACCCCAGCCTTGCGGACAAAGTTATGGTGAAGGRCAGCATCCCTGAATATCGGAGAAATTCCTTGCTCTGGTCTGGATCTATCTGTGCCAAACTCCATGGGTGGATTGGGGGGAGCTCTTGCTTAGAGCTGATGTGTGAAAAGTCTCCCCAAAACCATTCTGTAGGACAGCATTTAGAATAAATAAACTGGGGTTTTAGTCAAAAAGTGGAAGCTTTCCCCCCTCATGCAGGACCTTCCAGGGATCAGGCTCTCTGGCTTAATGGCTCAGTACAAAGCCTTGGAAAAAGATGTGGTCACTTTGCCATTGTCAGTGTGAGGACTCTGTACACAAACCCTCTGCCACATGCAAACAGCTGCTGCTGCTAAAAGCCATAAYCTAGAAAGCTGGGAAACATAAAGCCAGTGCTCCCAGGAGGATGTTTCATCCCCTCCAACACACCTCCCGTGATGGAATTACTTGGCCCCGCATGCACTCTGCTGTGGACAGCATCTCGGTGATGGTGTTCTCTGTATTGACTCTCTGGTGCCAGCCCCGGAGTGCTGTGGGTTGTGCTGGATGATGCTTCTGCACGACGGTGGCTGAGTTTAGGGTTACGTTTTCACAGGGAGCCTCTGCGTAGCCAGGTGGCAAAYGGAGTCAGAGGCTGAGGCTTGAACAGGGCAGTGGACTGAGGTGTGGTGGGGAATCAGCTGTGGTTAGCCCCAGCCAGGCTCAAACCTCTTCACAACATGCAGACAGGCAAAACCATTGTCCCTGAGCTCCTGSTGAACGGAAATGGTCACTCAAAGCCCGGCGTGAACTCAGTTTGATTTTGAAGTGATATTCAGTGCCGCGGGGACAGTGCAGGCGTCTCAAGCCAGGGCCAGTGGAAGACAGGGAGCACAGCAGTGCAGGGAAGTAGGGGGGTGGGAGGGTGGAGGGGGGGACTGTGGGACCCTCCAGGGCAGGGCAGGGCTGATGTTTCCCGTCTTTGACCTGACCTTGGTGCTGGGGAAGCAGCAAGGATTGGGCACAAGAAACGCTGGTTGAGATAATGGGGCTCAGATCCCTGGACAACTCCCACTCAGCAGGTTGACCCTAGCTCTTGGGGTATTACACCTTTGCCTCCAAGCTGTGGGATGCAGTGTGCGGGAATAGGCAATGTATTCAATTTTCTGCTCATGTTATCCAACAGGATATGGCCGATTGGGCACCCGTATGGGCAGGGAGAAAGGAAAGGAGATGGACAATAAGGGTGGTGAGGCCCTGGCTCAGCTTGCCCAGAAAAGCTGTGGCTGTCTCATCCCTWGAAATGTCCAAGGCCAGGTTGGACAAGGTGTGGAGCACCACTTGGGATAGTGGAAGATCCCTGCCCATGGCAGGGGGTGGAATGAGAGGAGCTGAAAGGTCCCTTCCCATCCAAACCACTCTGGGACTGATTGCCCGATTCTCTGCCTCAATCCTGCTGCTCCTCCCAGGCCCAAGAACAGGGATCTGCACCGGGTRCACATTGATATCCGTGAGGATGGATGTGGGGCTGCCCTGGCAGCAGGAACCAGGCTGTTGTCCCCAGGGGACCGAGGGCTGCTGTCGGGACAGATTTGGAGCTGCTCTCCTGAGGTTCAGGRCCGCCGTCTGGACTTACAGGATCCCCATCGTGAGCTCTCAGGGCTCCTGTTCTTGGGGCTCGAGGCTCTCTTCGGGGGTCACAAAGGTGCCGTCCCGGTGCCCTCGGACCCCCGTGGGCCTGAGCCACGTCTCCCCGCCCCGGAGATGGGCGGAGGGAACCACCCGGCCCCTACCGCGGGCTCAGAGTCCGACGGGCCCTTTAAGAAAGTCGAAACCCGAAAGTTCATCAAAGTTGACAAAGTTTTTCGTGGAAAGGAGGGGAAAAAAATAATTAAAATAACTCGAGCCCAACAACAAAAAAAACCTCCCCACGGTCCCGGGGGGCCGTGCCGGGCCAGGATTGGCGGCGGCAGCGGCCGGGGGCGGCCCCGGGCGGGGTAGGCGGGCGGGTCCCGGCCCCGCTGCTCGGTGCGCGGCGGCGGCGGCGGCACCGGGAGCGGCGGCTGGGGCTGGGGCGCGTCGGCCCCGCAGCTGCGGCTCGTTGCGCTCCGCTCGGCCCCGCTCCGCCCGGCCCGGCCCAGCCTGGCCCTTAACAGCGGCGCCGTCCCGGGACGCCGTATGTGAGCCGGGAGGGCAGCGCCGCACCGCCCCGCACCGCCCCGCACCGCCCCCGCGCACCGGCACCGCACCGGCCCCGGCACCCCGGCTCGGCCCCGCGGAGCTCCGGAGCAGCCGGTACCACCCCCCGCACCGGCACCCCACCATGAGCAACCTCAACAAGGACACCGAGCACACCAACGGCGGCGGCACCGTCGAGGAGGAGGTGAGTGCCGGGCTGGGGGTCGGAGATGGGGCACTGGTGCGGCGGGGAACTGGGAGCGGCGCCGGCACTGGGACACCGGCATGGCTGGGGACCGAGGACAGGGTGGGCGGACCGGGCTGGGGCTGGGTCGCGACGGCGGCGGCGAACCGGGAGCGACGGCGGACCTGGGACGGGGCGGCCGGGATGGAGCACCGGGGTGTCCGGGAACGGCGGATGGAGCGCGGCGGCGTCGGGGAACCGGGGCTGGGGCATTGGAGTTGGAGCACAGCGGCGTCGGGGACCGCGGAGGCGGCACGGGGGCGTCGGAGAAGCTCCGGGAAAGAGCGCAGCGCCTTGTTCGGGGAATAGAGGACCCGGCGTCGGGGCTGACCCCCCGGGTCGTCGGGGAACCGGAGCCTGGATGCCTGGGCTGCCACGGGCTGGGAAGCTGGGGCGGTGCTGCGGGAGCCGGAGTGCGGAGGTGTCGGGAGCCGGCGCTGGAGTGCCCGGGCCGTCCCGAGGAGGGGCTGGAGCCAGGCAGCGCGCGTTTCCTGCTTAGCCCACGGTCCCTGTGGCCCTGCGGGGCAGGGGRCTGGCCACTCCCGTGGGCATGGTGTCCTGTCGCCAAGTCCCCGCAGATGCGGGGCTCCTGGATCCAGCACCGCTGTGCCCGTGTGTTCTGCCCGTGTGGGCTCCTCCACTTGAACAATAGTGGAGGAGCCCCTGCCCTGCTCCCTGTGTGCTGGCACCCTGGCTGGGGCTGGAGGGCTGTGAGCTGCCCTGCCGGCAGTTCTCCTCACCCGGGTGCCATTGCAAGCCAGAACCTGGATGCTGCTGGACTCAGGGCTGGGAAGGCTAGTAAGGGTCGGTTGTCTGTAGCCACRTGCCAGAGCTGAGCTTGCAGCCCTCCACATTTGCACTTTGGCTGTCGGAGCCATTGGCCGATGTCATCAGTGCACCCCTTGAGCGGCAATTGGCATAGTGGGTCACTAGCTGCCCTCCATCTTGGAGAGGGCTCTGGAAAATGCCCAGCCTTGGAAACGTTTTGCTGCAGTCCTCTGTGCCTGGCCCTCAGGACCGGGGAGGTGCTCAATCCCCTCCCCTCGCTGTCCTCCGTGCGCTCGCGCCGCCGCAACATGGCGCCTGGCTTGCTCCACCACCCAGCGGGGCTGTGCGAGCCCCGTGGCCAGCTGACTTGGGGCCCTGGTGTCCCCTGGGCCTCCAGCCCGGCAAGGGGGACCCGAGTAATGGGGTGGAATGGATTAGCAGGCGGCGGCTGTAACGATTGTGTCCCCGGCGTGGAGCAGGGCACAGGTGATGCGATAATGCAATGGGATGTGGATGTGATGATGCTGGTGGGATGTCCCAGCCTCACTGGGTGGCACTGGGGTGGGTGGGCTGAGGCTCGGAGCACCTGGAGCCCTGTGCCACTCCCGCTGGAGGGAGGTTTGGTACCCGGGGGTTTCTTGGGCTGTGCACGCGTGCGCAGAAGACTCAATGCGGCTCCTTGATCCAATTATTCACTGGCCTGCAAAGCTCCCTGAGGTCGATGCCACTTGGCGCATCCTATCCCAGTGGTGTTGCTCCAGTTGGGCTGGTGCCTCAGTTGGTGGTCGGGTGAGCTCTTGGTGCTGGGGCAGAGCTGGTCTGTTCCCCACTGCTGGGTGATTGTTTGGTAAAGTGGGTGCTGGAGCATTTCAGGAACCTGGAAATTCTCACCCTCTGGAGAGGCTGGCCTTCCGGGAGTGGAGCTTGATGGCTGAAAACTGAGTTAAAGACTGCATYCCTGGGGAATGGACAGGGCTTGGACGGAAGTGACTCCTGCTCTCTGCTGTGCAGCCTCTAGGAGTGTGCAGGAGGGGGGACGGTCTGTCCACTCTGTTGGATGGCCTGTGGCCTTGCTGGGTATGTCAGTCACCCTGCCCCCAGGGCCGCAGCAAAGGACCTACCACCCTGCTTAGGCTGGGACTGGTGGGGGTTACTGTCCTGGTCCCAGACGGGACTGTTGTTGGAAAGTCCTGTTCCACCAGAAATAACACTGTGGATGGTGAGCACAGTTTGGGCTCCATGGTGGCTCCTCTGAGCCTGCCCCGAACGCTTGTTTTTCCAGTATCTCCTCTGGCTGACCAGGAGCTATTCCTCAGTGCAGAAGCTAATGGAGGCATAAGGAGTGACCTTGTGTTTAGGATCCCAGCATGGTCTGGGGGCCCAAATTCTTGCCCAGAGTTCCCCTTGGTACAGAGTGATAAATACGTTCAGTGCCAAGTAGAGTCCTTCAGTCCCAACATATGCAGGAGGGTGTGCTGGAATATTTTCCCACACTGCAGACACTCCTCCATCCCCCCTGCCGTGCGCCTCCTTCACTGCCTCCCGAGCGTTCACAGAAGGGTGCTGTGTGCCCCAGATACAGTGGGGCGAAGCTCCCAAATTCAGCCTTTCCCTTTATCTTATCTGCGAGCCCCTGGATCTTGCAGCCGCTTCCTGGCCGGTGACATGCGGAGGACAGGAATGCCTCTCGAGGTCGTTAACGGGAATGTTAAACAAACAGGGCCTAATGTCAGTCCCTGCTGTTCCTCACCAGACACCTCCCCAAACGCGATCCCTCCCCACTTGCTGCTATCTTCTGTGTAATTTTCCAGGCAGCCACCAATCTGCGTGACAGCATCTGTCCTGGCAGTCCCGAGGGGTGGTGTGGGACGGGTGGCTGCCTAGGTGCTGCACTCCCACCCCTGTGGCGGGCAGAGCTTTTTCTGGCAGCTGGAGGAGCTTTTGTGCTTCCCGTGGACACTGTGTGTTGTGGCYATGGCAGTATTGCGATGAAACCCCGTGTGTTCCCCTGTTCTCTGGAGTGCCTKATGCAGACATGTTGGTTCTACTCTTGAAATTCATCATTGCTTTCCCAGGAAGTCACTGGGAAGTTTTAGGTGCATGGGTAGTGGGAGAAATCTGGAGCTGGCTGTGTAGATGCCCAAACCAGGCAGTTGAAGTCTGTGCTTATCCCATGTGTCCTCTTGGGCTGTTTGTAGCTCCATGGGTGGTGGCTGCTGCTCTCGAAGGAGAGCTTGGACATCTGGGACTGCTGAAGGTGGAAAGCATTAAATGTGAAATTGTGCTGGGTAGGCTTTCTGGATTCTCTCAGAGAGAATCATCTTAGGAAGAARTCCTTCCATGTGGTGGGGTGAGRCCCTGGCACAGGGTGCCCAGAGCAGCTGTGGCTGCCCCTGGATCCCTGGAAGTGTCCGARGCCAGGTTGGACRGGGCTTGGAGCAACTTGGYCTAGTKGAAGATGTCCCTGMCCATGGCAGGGGRTGGAATGAGATGAGCTTTAGGGTCCCCTTTAACCCAAACCATTCTGTAAATCTGTGATCTTCCCTGTTGGCCCACAGAAGGCTGTGGTTTAGAAAAACTCCATGCTGGGGAGACAGAAGGCTCTTGTCTTCCAGACAGCCTCCTCAGGAGCAAGTCCTTCATCCCTTTTTCTAGCTGCTGCCCTCCAGAGCTGYCAGAACTGCCTGGGAATGCTRCTGGTGATCAGGCTGYGTTACGTGCTGCATGTCTGTAGYGCTTCATGGACTGGTGCCAGGCATCTCTTGACTTCTGTAATCTCTGCTTGAGTGGACCTAGATACCTTGTGCATGTGTGGATTCCAGCTCGCTGGCTGCAAACAAATAAGGTTTGGAGTGAGTTCTGGAGTCAAATGTCTCCTCTAATGCTGCTCTTCACAATGAAGAACCTGAAGCCATGGTAGTGACAGTCACCACTCGCTAATCCTCTTGCACTTGGCCTGGCTGAAGCAGGATGGTGCCTCAGAGCTGTTTTCATGCATCCTAAAAGTCCCCTAAGTGTTAGATACAGCTTTCTGTCAGTGACAGATTGTTGGCTGAGCAGACACCCCAGAGTCACCAYGCACACCGAGGTTCTGGGAACTGGTGTGTTCCCAGACATCCTCTCGGGCTTGAGTTGAGCACTAAGTTGCTCTGGCAGAAGGAGGGATGTGGGAATCTCCACTTTATCTCCTCGTGTCTTGGTGCCTTGAATACCCTCTGAAGGAGCTTCCTTCTCCTTTCTTGCTCTTTTAAATCTAAGTTTCTTAGACACGAGTCTGAGCATCAACATCCCAGCTAGTCCCCATGAGGGGGTAACTTCTTCCTCCATCCGCCTGGTCTATTAAATGAGACCCAGCTTCAGAAACGAGTCTTCCTTCTTGGCTAATCTGAGCAGACCTTTCTTTACTTAGCCTCAGAATTAAGGGGATTTTGATTGTGCCTGTGGAAGTTAGGAAGGGCCAAACCTAAAGGTTCCCTTGCCAGGTCTCTGCTTTTCCTTCACCAAAATAGAAAGGAGATGTCTGGGAGGTAGCTGAGAGTAGTTCAGGCTTTGCAGTCCTTCCTTATAGCTCTATTTGAGGATCTGGCACTGTGGGAATTCAAGAGTGACTCTTGCTGGAACTGATGTGGAAGGTTGTGGGGCGAAAAGTTCCCTTGAGTTTGCTGGTCTTGGCCATGCCAAGTCATGGAGACTTTGCTGCTTGGAGCAGGGAGTAATGAGCAATACTGCTGCTGTTCCAGAGCTCTGCTGGAAATAAAGGCTTCAGCTTGAAGCTTCACCATGGCATGAGTGTGGAACTGAGCTGGTCAGACCTCAYTACAATACTCAGAATCTTCCTGCACCATGTGGGATGGTGGAAACCAAGTTCCTCCTGTGTGCCTAGCCCTGTGAAGCTGGACCTGGTGAGGGTCAGGGCAGTGGGACACAGCCCCGGCACTGGCGCTGCTGAACCTGGCCCGTGCTGAGATGTGATCCTGAGCCAGCCCAGCACATCTGATGAGGAGGAAGCAGTGGCACCAGGTGACCCTGTCCTTGGCATAGCAGAAGTGGGTGCTGCAGGCTTGGACTGCCCTACGGGATTATGGTGTGCTGGGGTGGCTGCAAACCTGAGGACCCAGTTGGTGATCTTACCTGTGTGGAGGCTCTCTAGCCCTGCTGCACAGCCCAGGAGAGGCTGTGGAGATGTTTGATCT